CGGTGTATATCCTGATATGTACTCCTTAAAACCCTGACAGACCTTGGCAATCTGCCAACATCCAGCTGCTTAAGCTACGAGGCAACTTGGGTATCTAGGAATAAATTACCATAAATACATAAATTATTGGTACTCCATGCTCTATCCGTCTCTCGCAGATGGTCTGCAGCTGTGCAATGAGGCTCTGTATCGTTCAGTACTGTCTACCGTTGAGCACTTTTGAAATACAGAGGAATATCTTTCTCTATGTTTTATTTAATCTTATCTACATACATAAACCGCCATTCTTACTTCGGAGTAGGCAGACATCAGCTCGCCACTTGCTTCTATCATTAAACCTTGCATACAAGACCTTCAGTTTCGAGTATTTCTGATCCACCGTTTTTTTGTACATTTTATATTGCCTAGCTAAATAAGTCAGCAACGCGGCGCTTCTAAGTATTCGTAATTCACCCATAGGGTACGGCACAGATATGATAAATATCTTGTTGGATTAGGTAATACCTATAAGTTCTCGATAAAATCTACGCTTCTAAAGCTTGACAGTTAATTTCCGTCTAGTTTTTTTTTCAAATTTTGATTTATACATAGTGCAGAAATTAAAACAAACTACGTATTAAACATGTCAGTCAAGAGAGCAGTGTCTCAGGAGCTTGTCTGAAGAAACGTTACTGAGATGATATGAATTTAAAAATGATATACGAGTATTACGAAGTGAAAACGAATTGTGTATTCAATAGAGCGTATTTTCCTAGTATTATCTTAAATGTTACACTGAAACGAAAACCTGCCCGACTAATGGATTTCTCTTGTAAAATAAATGGGTTTCATCTTAATACATGAAAACATACATCGAACATGTTTTCAAGAAATACAGCTGTTTAAGAAAAGAGAAATACCATTTTCTGTTAAGTTTACTAATACCGTTTTATAAATAGTTCGATCGTGACATAGAAATCAATTATAAGAATATTTTTTCTTGGAGTGCTAAATTTTGTCGAAATCTTTTTCCACCACATGGTCCTTCGAAATTGCTATTAACACAGTGCAAGGTGTAATGGAAACACGTCGTTTTCCGGCTGCCATTGAAACCACATAATTATTGTGGTCTCGTCGCGTCAGTCCAATAACATTGATTGCAGACGCCTCTATTGGAAAAGGGAAAGAGAAACAAATAGAACCGGCTTGGTTTCAATGAAATCAGTTTGCTCTGTATATAATGTGTCTCTTAAATAGTATCACACTAAAACAATCTTTATTGCGTGTGTGTAAAAAAATCGTTTGGACATAAAACATAAAATCTATATAAAAATAAATATGAGAAAAGTAATGACTGTAAACGAATATCTAATATATAAAATTCTCGTGTCACGATGTTAGAAGTTGAACTCATCCGAAACGGCTATACCAATTTTCGTGAAATTTTGTGCATATCGGGTAGGTCTGAGAATCGGCCAACATCTATTTTTCATACCCCTAATTTTTTTTTTTTTTTTAAATAATGTATATGGCAAAACAACTTTTGCGGGGTCAGCTAGTCTCTCATATAAAAATTACGATGATAAGTCACTAATTCTTCTAGTTTAAAAATCTATAATTTCATTCAATGCATACACCAAGTGTTTATGTATTTCATCAAATCATTCATGTTTTTTTTAGATATATATTGATTTATGTAATAAATATTTTAAACTAGGATTATTATAGACAAAAATCAATTATACCTATAACTTCCAATAAAGAATTTCGGGTTGCTATGGTGCTGTGGGTGAAATGAAATTTACTTAAGCTCATAATGTGTGTGTGAAAACTAACTTTGATTTTCCCTAAAGTTGCTCTTCTATATAGGGACTCATAATTGTAACTTGTTATTGCAACAAGGCTAAGTATCCAGAACCCTAGCAGTTTAATTCGTGTTATCGAGGAGTTTAGTTCGCCTGTATGCGAAGATAAAAAAATTCCTGCCGCTTGTTCAATTCTAGCTAAGATGAGTCTGAATTAAGTAACCTACATCCACTTCCAGCCAGGAAATTTTATTGTCTTCAAGTAGTTTTCATAACAATTCAGCGTTATTGACTTTTGTCTCCGGTCGGTTGTGGAGCGCATTGTCGTGATCAAAATTGTCAGACCAAAGGCGGTCGAACAACAAAAGAATCGGTCGTTCAATTGCGGTACTCTGGTATATACACGTTGAGGACCTGCGTTGGCACAACGACGTGCTATGTCATAGACAAGGATGTCTCTATTTTTCTTTTTTTTCAAATTTTTTTTTTTAGGGTTTTGTATTTTATTTTACTTCGTTGTCCGCCTGGCAACACTTTTTTTGTATTAACGCGTTAAGGTTGCAAGTTGAAATACATCTGAACTATTTGTTTTAAAAATGGCAAGATGTAAATTAACCGTTTAACTAATATAATTTTATACAAACAATACCATTGTGAAATTTAATGTTACAATACCATTGTGTCACAGCACAAGCAAAGTCATCGATTTTTTTTAGGAATATTTTATGTTCTTATATACTTTGTACGTTTATGGGAGTATATTGGTAGAACAGCAAGGTAAAGTTTTTCTGTCAATCCAATATTTATCTTCTGGAATTAGAAGATATTATGAAGGAGAAAATATATATTATAAACAAAGTACGAGTCCGTTGGTGCATTAGTCAGACTCGCACTTGTCTAGTCCTTCATACTTGTCATAATTTTAGTAGTCTATATATGAAAAAAATTATACCGCCCATTATGGCATCTGGTCAGTTATGAATATGGGATCGTGATATCGTTATCCCCATTACCCACAATATACAAGTAATCCTGTCAGCTTGCGGAACGCCTCACCTCACCTAGATCGTATTATGTAGGTGTTTGCACTAGAAGCGGGTTAACTACAATAGCTTCCGCCCTGTTACCAGTGCCACTGCAGGTCATCGACTCGCCATTTGTGGTGCTTCATTTTTTTACAAAAAAGCAATGATTATCATTGTATTAAAGTGCCTATAGAAATGGTACTAAATATATTTTTACTCTCACCTCTGTACCAATAGTATAAGTAGTACCTCAACAATTAAAAGTGTATCAAGAACCGTACAAAAGCCATGCTGTGGCACATATGGCGCAACTCGACCAATGTGATACCATCTCACTAAAAACTGAGGCCCTAGAGTTTATTTCATATCAACTCGCTCTTGACAGCAAGACGTTGTCAGCGAGCCGAGCGTTGCGATTGTTGCAGATTTCCGTCTGCGCCAATCGCACGCTGAACGCGGTCACCGTAACGATCGAATGGATGTGAAGTAGGCTCACACTATGGCACCAGGTGTGAATCAATTCGTTCCTTTCTTTTCTGAGTGAAGTTTACCAGATTCTCAACCTCCCCCTTGCCCCCTAGCTTTAGGGAGTCACTTGTGACGGTAATCACGGTGATGTAGTCTGATCAATTGAAACAACCATAATTCATCAGTGCATCCAATATACTACGTCTATTTCACGAGAAACACTAAGACTCATGTTTAAGTGGAGATGAAACTATGCTATGTATGGGCATATGCAGGCTTTCTATTTATAAGGCATATATAGCCTTTAAATATTTACCAATGATTGGTAGTACATATATAGCTGAATCCTATTAAAGCCGTCGACCTAGAAGACAAATAAAGGCACAAAGATTGTGCTGTGTTCATTGGCACACGACATTTATTCGTAGTAAACACTAAAATTTTTAAGACATGTTTCGCTAAATTTTTGGAACTGCGAGTACGTCTTGGGAAATATCTTTAGCGTTTGGTATTGAATATTTAGAGAATGGTTGTGGATTGTATAACTTCAGCTACTGTAGATAAAAGTGGGACGTAAACAGACAAAAAGCTGATATTTTAAGAAATTCAGCGCATAGCCTAGCTACGAGTAGTCTAATATTCATCATTTTGTTTGATCATACTTGTCTCAGGTCTGTAGAATGTCGTTTTGTTGAAGGAAGTTAGAGAGAAGAAGATGCACAGTTACGACGCTATTCTTTCAAGAAAATACATAAATACAAAAGTTAAAAAATGATATTTATAATAACATCGAAACCATAACGTTTTGTTAGGCCTTCGGATTTATGAGCCAGTGGAAGTGGGTTCAAAACCCAATACATTCCTTCATACATTTTATTATAAATAATTAGATTTAGCTGAAAGCATCTCCCAAGTACTATTATTAGTGTGAGCGTTAGTTTCTTTGCGGCACCTTATACCCAGAAAAATACTATTATATTGGAATAGAAAATTAACTAAACGCGGTGAAAGCGCTTAAAGTGAATCGCCAAAAGCTAGTTAGTAAATAAGTTAAATAAAATTATGTTGTATTGTTATACACAGTTTAGTAAAATTGAACCTTTATTATACAACAATCGTATAATTACAACAGTATTTATGTAATCTATTGTGAAATAAGTACATTAATTGCTGTGGTAAAGCAATAGATATTATAAAAGAATATCCGGGATATGGGTGTATTTTACCTACAGTAGATACAAATAATTGTATTATCTTTTCCCTATGGTCACAAGCTTTTATCGAACTAACCACACTTACGCATTAAGTAGCCAAGCATTACTAATAGTACGGTACGGTAATAATTTTATGTAATCAAATTTCATGAATAAGGTAATAATAAGTTAAAAAATATAGCATTGAACTAATTACGTACTTTGTTTTCCTTGAAAATTTGAGTCATTTTCTTTGCTACATTAAAAATGAGTAGCTATAAAATCACTTCCAGGATTTATTATTATCTGTGAATATGAATGCAGTATTAAATGAAAATTAAAAAAAATAACAATTCATTTCCAAATTGCCTTTTGCTTATTACAATTCCTTAAAAGGCTAGGATCCACATCTGGACAGATACATACAGATAAAAATATTACAAAAACTTATATATAACGAAATGTGATTGAAAGTAATTTTGGAACAAAATATTTTCAATTATTAACACTATAATGTCTTGTCCTAACAGGTATCGATGGATCAAAAACGGCAAGGCATTTGAGTACACCAGTTACGACAATAGAATTTCACAGCAATCTGGGCGTGGTACTCTCGTGGTCAGCCAGCCTCGTGATGAAGACCTTGGTCAGTACCAGTGCTTCGCCTACAACGAATGGGGAACTGCCGCTTCAAATTCCGTATTCGTACGCCGAGCGGAACTCAACTCATTTAAGGAGACCGACAGTCAACAATCTGTTGTTGCCGAAGAAGGAAAACCTTTTAAGCTCACTTGTGAACCACCCGATGGTCATCCAAAACCTAAAGTCTACTGGATGTTGCAAGGCGATCAGTTTCAACTCAAGACTATCAATAACTCCCGTATGACTTTAGATCCTGAGGGCAACTTGTGGTTCTCGAACGTAACTCGCTACGACGCCAGTGAGAACTTTGCATACATTTGTACTGCAAATTCCATCTTCAGAAATGAGTACAAGTTTGGTAACAAGATCTACTTGCAAGTGACGCAGACAGGTATTTCGCCTACTTTGAACAAGCATGAACCTGTTCGACAGTACACCACCAGGAAAGTGGAGAAAGCCATGAAGGGGAAGAGGGTAGAGCTGTATTGCATTTATGGTGGAACGTGAGTATTATCCTTTGTTTTTTTATGTTATTTTTAGGTAAGTTTCCTTAAAGAAGTTTCTCCATGTGGCCAATGTATAATAAAATGAGACGTCCAAGTTTCACGAGCTCCTCTGAGACAAATCCCAAGATGGTTGGGTTCTTTGAGGTTCTGGCTTGAGGAATTCTTTTAGATCATTCGACGGTTAATTGGCAGTAAGGAAGCCCTTGGAAAGAGTTCTTAATTGGGGGACATTTATCATATAACTTTTTGTTAGCCCTGGAAATATCGTGATAGGTGCTGTGACTGATGTGGACTGAAGTTAGCAGTGCATTGATTTTCACCGATTGAGAGGTTACCGCTGGCCAAACCCCCTCCCCCTCCTTCTGGAAGAGGGACTTAAAGGTCGGCTTGTTGCTCTTAAGTTGCTGTTGTCCATGGGCGCCGGTAGTCACTTACCATCGAGGTCACCTGATGGTAAGTGACTGTCCCGTCTTCTCTTTTGCCCTCCTATTCCATAAAAAAATCAAGTGAAAATTATCACTAGTGTGAAAAAGTCTGTGTAACAATTTCTATCTCGTGATTTCGATTATAGAATTAAATTATAAAAAGTCCTACAGTACCTCCAGTAGTCCTAAAAGTGTACTATGAACGTTTGTGGCCTGAGATCTGATTAAACTCCTTTATTAGGTACTACACTCTCAACATGCACTATAAACTGTTGACCTACAGCGCCCCCGTCCGCGCATGAGTGGCCGCAAGTGGGCTTTCCTCTATCATATTACATACCGTTAAATCGACCACATTTCGGTCTGTTTATGAAAGGATGTAGTCGTAAATTCCAAGGTTATATGGATACACAGATGTTTGCAATTTCGTAAACGATATGAGCGACATACTAAGTTGTTGAGTTTTATCTATATTTAACATTTAACCTTGATCAGGTATTAATACTTACCTTTGTTGGTTAGATTCAGCAAAAAAAAAAGACAATGCCCAACCCAGCACAAGTTTATTGGATTGAAACCTATAAGTTTTTGTGTCTAAATAAACCTATCTACTGTTACTATTTGTATGTCGTAAGATCTCTTAATACTTAATACCAAACATTGGGGCCCAAGTACTTGGCAATTTGATTGCCATCTTCCAAGCGGACAGAGTCGTCAGACATGGTGACCTAATAGGTGTTTATGACTTTGCATACGCTCTGGAGTATTACGAACTCATCCACTTGCCGACGTGACTATAGACACAACTTCAGATATAGGTCATGGCTTCATTTATTATATTCCCAGGTCGAAGATTAATTTGGTGTTCTGTAATTAAGGAATTTCAACTTTTTGTTTTCAAGTAACCACTTATTCCCATTCTTTACCTAACCCTATTATTTAAAGTGAATAACAAATGGAAGCCTTGTCCTTTTAATCTTCAGTACGATAACTTCATTTAAATAAAAATATTTCTCACAGGCCGCTACCCCAAATTGTATGGAAGAAGAACGGTCGAAGCATTCTGTCATCTCAAGGCATAACTCAGGACAATTACGGGAAGACCTTAGTCATCAAGTACCCCACATATGAAGACCAGGGCACGTACACGTGCGAAGTGAGCAACGGCGTTGGCACCGCACAATCTTACTCCATTACTCTTAATATTGAAGGTAAGGATTTACTTAGGATTTTTTTTGTGATTTTAAAACCATTATTCAAGTTTTTTTGGTCTGAATCACAAACCAGTGATCGTGACTGCTGAAACGGCGGTAATAGGTGCAATTCCCACCTGGACAAAAAGTTGTGTGATTAATATGATCATTTGTTGTGTGTCTAGTTGTAATTAATTTGTAATATAGGTCAACAGCCAGGTGTCGATATTACATTCTCTACTTACTTTGGTATCTGATGGCCGTTTCCCAAATCTAACAAGTTGCTATTAAGTTATTAAGATGTTGTGTGCCGATTAAGCTATTAGCTGTATTTTGACTATCAATAACTAAGTTATTGTACATACGTGGTATATAAAAAGCTGTAAAGTGAGATAAAATTCCAAAATCTAAGCCCAAAAGGTTACGGTTTGACTGTGGCGAATAAATTACCTTAGGAAGTTCTACTATTAACGTATAGTTTGCCTGTCTTTGTGAGATATAATATATGAATGAATAGGCTAATTGAGACACCCGGCAGTCGTTTTTACGAGTATATACATAAATTGATTTATGCAATGGTCTAGTATTTGTAGCGTTTTTTCAAACCATGCCTATTCAATCCAAAGAAATACGTTTTAATAACTTTACCTTATTCTTCCTAAAAATGAACTACACATATTATTAAATTAGTCCAAGTGCATCAGACACAAGTGCACCAATTAGATTACAAGACATTTTCCCCTACCTACGAGTACATTCTGTGTACTAAGTATCGGGAATTTGTCAATAAAACAAAAAATACAAATTATTCATCTAAATTTATTTTATCGCCTTCAAAGTAGGCCCCATCGCTTGCAATACAACATCTCCACCGCTTCACCCAGTCTTCCATACATTTTTCATAGGCTATTTGCGGTATGGCCTTTAGCTCATTCAGCGAATTTTCTTTTATGGCTTCTATCGACTCAAAACGTTTTCCTCGAAGTGGTAATTTTAACTTGGGAAATAAAAAAAGTCAGACGGAGCCATATCAGGTAAATACGGTGCTTGGTCGAGAACTTTTGTTGAATTTTTCGCTAAAAACTCTTTCACTATAATGGCTGTGTGTGATGGTGCATTATCATGGTGCAGCATCCATGAGTTGTGTTGCCACAAATCTGGACGTTTTCGGCGGATACTTCATGACGCCTAAATAATATTCTTTATTCACTGTTTCTCCCTCTGGAAGGAATTCGGAGTGAACCACATTAGTAGTAAAAAAAAACTGTCAGCATCACCTTGATTTTGGAGCGACTTTGCCGCGGTTTTTTTGGTTTCGGCTCGTTTTCGAGACGCCATTCTGAAGACTGTTGGCTTGTTTGCATGTCGTACTCATAAACCCATTCGCCAGTTATTATACGTTTCATAAAGGTCAGATCCGTAGAAGCTCGGGAAACCATGTCTTCAGCGACATGCTTTCGCTGCGCTTTTTGAACAAAATTAAGCTCTTTTGGAACTAGTCGAGCGGCGACGCGTTTCATGCCTAAATTGTCAATGAGAATGTTGTGGACGGACTTAAAAGATATGTTCACCTCACTAGCCAACTCTCTCAGACTCATACGTCGATTTTCGAGCACTAGCTTCTTGATTCTGTCGATGTTTTCTTTGGTCGTAGCGGTTGAAGGCCTACCAGAACGAGGCAAGTCTACTACTACTTCTCGGCCTTCTTTAAAAGCCTTATACCATTCATAAGCCCTTGTTTTCGATATACACGATTCGCCGTAGGTATTTCGCAACATTTTTAGTGATTCACCACAAGAAATATCATTCGAAACACAAAATTTAAGGCACACTCTTTGTTCAACAATATTTTCCATTGTAAAAATCGCCGAGGACTCAAAACTATCACCAACAAAAAGTGTAGTTTAAAACAAATTAAATGACAGATCCCGCTCAAAGGACAATGGCAGGTCCCCATACATAATTTTATTTGAAGTAAAATGACAGCGTTTAAATATCAAAAATGCCTATAACCCTTGAGAATTTATTCTTGAACATTCTCATAAAAAAATTACTAGCGAAAGAAGTCTAGGAAAAAAGATATTGGATTTTGAATGTTTCGAGGTTAAGTACTAAAATATTGTCAATGTTTTATTTGAATCTAGATGGCGTTGTGCGTCATATATTCAAAAATATTATTCATCATTATTATTACTTATAAGCAACCCTATTTTGCTGTAGAATGTGTTAGCCGACTCTCTTAATGGGTGAAGGAAGGAAGGGTATTTGCTTGGCATGTATTGGTAAATAATAGAAAAAAATTTTCGCTTACATAGCAGGTGTAATACTAGCTATAAATACATAAATTATTAATAATAATTTGAATAAATGTACTTCAATACACATTTACACAAGGCGGAAGCATTTATTTATTTATTTAGTTATTCAACAGTCAGTAGTTGTGACATTATTTACTAAAATCTAAAGCATGCATCCATTATATTGAGATTAATGCACAACATTTTAAGGCATCACATCATGCATATTGGAGTAACACTATATGAAATTAAAATAAAAATAAACATATATGAGAGTTTAATACTAAACAAAAGTAAAACAACCAAACAAACTACAATAAAATTGCCTTGTGAAAAATGGTATGTAAGTCATGCGTGTAAGTGTCAAACGACAAGACTAGTAAGTGCGACGACGACGTATCGAAATTTTAAAAATATCGATGTATGTATATTTATGTGCCGCTATCAACCTACAATGTCTTTTTCTCATCTAGTGTGATTAGAAAAAGACATTAGCAGTATATTGTTTTAGTATTTTTCTGTAGGAAAATAACATAACTAAATTCTATTTATTTTGGTGTAGCAAAAATCTTCAAAAAGAGTCAAAAATATTCTAAATTATTTCTAATTAGGTTGATTTAGTCACTACAGTACTAGTTACGGTAGCGTATGAGTAAACCCGTGGGCAAAAGCAAATTCATAATCATAATAGGTGAACCTTCGATAGATATCGATTATCGATAAAACGTTCCATAATATAATAATATCACCACGCATCCCTAGTCAGTTCGTGATGGCGATTCTGACATTACGTACTTAGGTCAAATAAAATCTTTAAAAATATCCAATCTCTTATTAGACTTATACAACACATGGAGGTATAATGATAAATCATAGAAAAAATATTTAGTAAGTTTACTGTTAGTCAACTTTTTAAACGCTTCAGTTTTAAGTAAATATGTTTCTGCCATTGTTCTTTTGCGCGCTTAATCAGTACAGTGCTACCAACATGCAGTAAAAAAATTAGAACGACCTCTTTTACGCGGGTCTTTTTATTGACATATTCCCGATACTTTTTACACAGAGTTGTATATTACCTGCTTAAACATTTTGTGAGTTTATTTTAAAAGCCCGGATTACATCGTTTAAATTTGGATCGGCTGTTTAATAAGCCAATAATTAATTATTCATAGAATATCGTCATGATCGACGTGATTAATTTCCGATTATAAATTTTCCGATTATAAAACAAAGCACCTTTTTCATTCCATCATCTTGTTTGTTTAAAAAAGCTGTTTGTTGTGTCGATTACAGATAAATCTATCTTAAAAAGTATCAGTTCTTAGGATTCCTAACAAGAAGTTCTTATGGTTTTTTCTCTTCCCTCTTTCCGTCCCCTACTTGGCTGAGGGAGACAGTTATTACTAAAAAGCTGTAATTTTGCGAAGATTAAATGACAATGGACGTCATTTTTTCAGAGTATCTACATATTTAGGAGAAAAAATGAAGTGAAAAAAAAAAGTTTTTTCTCCTCCATCGCGGTGCATCCATGTGGGGGATCGTTATATTGGGCTATTTGTTGAACGTTATATTGGGTTATATTGCTATATTATGGAACTGACATTAGATATGGGGACTGACATTAAGGCAAATTTCTTACAAAGTACAAAATTCTAAAAAGAAAACAATTATGTACCGTTGGTATTTATTTTAACCATAGACTGCGTACCTTGACATCTTAAAGGTTTTTTTTTAAATATTTTTTTAATATATACTTGGGTTTTTCTTATCCTAGTTATCCACTAGTATCCTTATCAATCGGGAATCAAGGTTAACAAGGCCCAATGTAACGAAAACTGTAACAGTTTATATATTCTGTTGGCGTCGTTAAAACAATGAAGACAACATTGTGCCGAATATAGGCGTGTCCCTACACCACCTACGCCATTTCCGCAATGCTAATTCATAATTGGAACTGCAAGGGCCGGCGCCATAATGAACACGATAATTATTGTGTCACGAGCGTCATTTCCGCTTTCTAAGTTTTCAAACTTAACTTGCACTGATTTGTAATTTCACGTGTAATTTTTATGAGTAGATCTATAGTGAATTAGAGATTGTAGGTTTATAAAACTATCTGATGAGAAGTGTGGGCTAATATCGTGTAAGTATGTATTAATTTGAATAGAAAAGCATGTAAAAGGTACAAATTTTTTTTGAGAGTAAACATTAATTAGTATAAAGATATAAAAAGATTTTTATATCATTTCTGACGTTATTTTGTGGACATTTTCTGACAAATCTATTAAAGGTAGACTCTTTTTATGAAATATTTAAAGATTCATTCTAAATTACATTTTTTGTATTTATAAGTAATGTGATTTTGTCTTTGTCAAAATATCAAAATTTAAATCGGCCTTCATCCTTTTTATTAAAATTAGCATTATTGTCTTTAATTTAATGACATCATCAGCATAACGTCACGTTTTAAATTGGATCGATCCACATATGGATTGAAATCAACCAGAAATAATAATAGCTTTTTGACAATAGAACGCTTCCGACTAAGAAATGTAGCTTCTAAATTGTGCAGAGTAAAGAAAACATGACGAAGGTCGACAGTTTCAACTCACATATTTCTCTTTATTATTCAGTATTCGCTAGTGGTTCATATTATATGGATCACATGGTCCACATCAAATATTCTCCCTGCCAAAAGTAGTAAATGATGTCATCGGTGAC